CTAGCGCTATAGTTATTTATTATCTTTTATAAGACCTTATATATAGCTATAGCATATTTCTTTAAAAGTTTTATGTCTTATTTAAAAGCTTAGAGTGTAAGCTGTATCTAACATTTTTTTAGCGCGTCTAAGTAGTGTTGTAGGGAATGCATTAGTGTAAGAAGAGTAGTTTAGTGGGGTCTTAGTAAAAGTAAGTAACTTAGGTGTGTAAGCAACTCGCCTGTAAAGTACGTTAAGCTGTTAGACACTTTTAAACTTTTTTCTTTCTTCTTTTTTACGTTTTTTTCTTTTCTCTCTTCTTTTCTCTTTCCCCTTTAGACTTCTTTTAAACCCCCTCTGCTGTAACGGCACAGGCAAGACAATGGGTCCGAATGCGGTAGGAATCCACTCAGAGGCATATGGGAGTGCGTGGGGACTCAATAACCTGGGAATTTTATTAACACCTATAGGCCTTGTATAAAGGATATTAGAAAACTACTAAGCTAGCTATAGGGGAGAGGTGCGGCTAAATACTTAGGAGAATAGGGGTACAGCAGGGGGCAGAGCAGAGTCAGGGCTAGATTAAGGTCAGGGCTGATACGAGGGCCTTTCGGAGGTTCTAAGCAACCTGAGATAGAACAATTTATAAGAATTGTTACACTACCCCCCCCTCTGTAGACTAATAGTCCCTATTAGTAGTAATTATAGTACAAAGTATTGCTATTATATCCTCTGCCTCCTTAATATTCCTTTGCAGTGCTAGCGGTGTCCTCTAAACCAAACGCTATGTGTGCGCGCCTGTTCTAATAGTAATCTGTATAGATGTCTAGCCTGTTAATAATTAAGACTTGCTCTTTATTCTTTGCTATCTATGCAGTTATTAATCTTAAGCGTGTGTTTAGTATAGTGACATTTAGGCGTTGTTAGGGGTGCTTTAAAGGTCTCTTGCTATTAGAGTAGCAAGAGTGATTTAAGACATTATTAGGGGTAATTTAGTAGTTAATTAAGGTCTATTAGGACATGTTGCTATAGATTAACTCTAAATTCAGTGGGGTATGGCTTAGCTAGAGCGTATTTAACTCTAGGGTTAGAAGGTAGTTAATTAGACATTAGCAGTTGCCTCTAATTCTAATAAGTTATTAGTAGTCTCTAGGTTTCTACTTTAGCGCATTCTTTATAACTTTTCTAAAGGCAATTCTAATTACAGAGAATAGAAAGTTTTAAACCTAAAGGCTTTAGTTAATAGAAGGTCTCTAGTATCCTATCTATAAACTAAATACTTTAATATAACAGTATATAAGTATTACAACTTAAACTAAATTAGACACGTCTTAGGCTTAGACATAGTTAAACAAATAATTAGTGTAACATTATAATAAAGCTGTTACTAGCAAAAGTACGTTTTCTAATATAATGTAATAGTACAGGCAAGACAATAGTTCTAAATGCAGTAGGAATCTACTTAGAGGCATATAGGAGTGCATAGGGACTTAATAACCTAGGAATTTTATTAACACCTAAAGGCCTTGTATAAAGGATATCAGAAAACTACTAAGCTAGCTATAGGGGAGAGGTGCGGCTAAATACTTAGGGGAATAGAGGTACAGCAGGGGGCAGAGCAGAGTCGGGGCTAGATTAAGGTTAGGGCTGATACAAGGACCTTTTAGAGGTTCTAAGCAACCTAAGATAGAACAATTCATAAGAATCATTACATCTGTCTTATTTTTAGCTGCCTAAGAGCGCTATAATATATACTTAAAAGTTAGACACTACAGCCTCTAGAGCTAAAACTCAACAAAGCAGCTTAGTATTTTAGTAGAATAAAGCTACCTAGACACTAGCTATAAGAAGACTAGCTTCTTAACTCTTTATAACCTACGCTACTTACGCTAGGTTTTAAGTAGACTTTAAAATAGCTTTAAAGGCTTTTTTTTTATTTTTCTTACTCTTTATGTTTTAGGCTGCTGCCTATAGCTTAAGATAGCTTTAAAAAACATAAAATTTTTCTAATAAAAAAAAAACTTACACATGCGTTAGTAAACTATACCTTAGTAGTATTAAACTATATTTATATAAAGTTACATTTTTTATTATATAAAGTGTAATACTTATATTTTTTTAATTTAAAAAACTAAAAAAAAGAACTTAATTTAAAGGCTATAAGTAAAAGCGTAAGTAGCCTAAAAGTAGATAACTTAAAAAGCCTCTAAAGAGGCTCTAGAAGAGGTGTAGAGCAGTATAGTAGACTAAGCTATAAGATATTAGGTGCATAATAATACCTATATAGCAGAGATTTAAATAATAGCTAAAAAAAAACTAACAACATTGACTAGATAATATAAGTAAGGCAAGTAAACACTTATTGCTATAAATAATAAATTTACTATATTAGTAATAACTACACTACTAGTTACTACTAAATAAAAACATTAACGTACTTTACAAGCAAGTTACTTACACACCTAAGTTACTTACTTTTACTAAGACCTTACTAAACTACTCTTTTTACACTAATACATTCCTAACAATACTACTTAGATGCGCTAAAAGAACATTAGATATAGCTTACGCTCTAAGCTTTTAAATAAAACATAAAACTTTTAAAGAAACATGCTATAGCTATATATAAAGTTCTTTAAAAGATAATAAATAACTATAGTGCTAGACAACTTTTATAAGCTAATTCTATAGCTAACTTATAAAGGCTAGGTAATAATAAAAAGTAGGTAATTATTAAGACTATACTTAAGCTATATGCGCAAGGATTTTCCTTTTAAATAGCATTTATAGCTAATATAGCTAATTTTTTACATGCTAAGCATAATCTAGGCTATATTAGCATAAACTAGCTTAGTATGTTTAGAAAGTGTTATCTAGAGCTTAAAGTAATGTTTAAGTGTAGTATAACTATAAAAAAGCTTTTTATAAAAGTCCTAAAGTAATTTAGAGCAAGTTTAGCCTTATAAAGAATATTAAAGCTAAGTATAGTATCTAGAATAATAACATGTATAACTTTAGTAAAATAGGCTTTATTATAAGCTAAATATCTATTAACTATACTTATACTTAAAACTTTACTTTAAGCTTTAAATAACACTTTATAAACATACTAGGCTAGTTTATGCTAACATAGCCTAGATTATGCTTAGCATGTAAAGAATTAGCTATATTAGCTATAAATATTATCTAAGAGGAAAATCCTTGCGTATATAGCTTAAGTATAGTCTTAATAATTACCTACTTTTTATTATTACCTAGCCTCTGTAAGTTAGCTGTAGAATTAGATTATAAAGGTTATCTAGTGCTATAGTTATTTATTGTCTTTTAAAAAACTTTATACATAGCTAGAGCATGTTTTTTTTAAGAGTTTTATATTTTATTTAAAAGCTTAGAGTGTAAGCTATATCTAACATTCTTTTAGCGCGTCTAAGTAGTGTTGTTAGGAATGAATTAGTGTAAAAAGAGTAGTTTAGTAGAGTCTTAGTAAAAGTAAGCAACTTAGGTGTGTGAGAAACTTGCCTGTGAAGTACGTTATAATAAAGGTATTATATTAGTATTAGGTTTTTGTCTATTTTTTAGTAATAAGAAATTTTAGTTAGATAGTTATACTTATTATATTTTATCTAAATTAGTTTTAAAGTAGTTCTAAATACTTTCTAAACACTATAGATAAAGACTATTAGCCTATAAAAAGGAGGTAGTGTAATAATTCTTATAAATTATTCTATCTTAGGTTGCTTAGAACCTATCTAAAGGGTCCCTGTATTAGCCCTAACTATAACTTAACCCTCTCCCCTGCAGTTACTTCTATTCTCTAAGTATTTAGTCGCACCTCTCTTCTTAGCTAGCTTAGTAGTTTTCTAATATCCTTTGTACAAGGCCTATAGGTGTTAATAAGATTCCTAGGTCGTTAAGTCCCCACGCACTCCCATATGCCTCTGAGTGGATTCCTACCGCATTCGGATCCATTGTCTTGCCTGTGCCGTTACACCTACACTTCTTTAATCTACTACTAACCTGCTACGCCACCTACTACAGCCTAGAGCTATTAGTGGCCTTAGGTCACATGACAGGTTCATCTAGTACTATATAAACCCGTAGTTGCCCTCCTTTAGCAATCAATCTAGTTCCTTGTGCCTCTAGTGTTCCTCTAAGCTTCCCACAGTTTTTAGTTTTTAGTAGACAATCTCTAATGTTTAATTATCTAGTGAGGGTGCAACTACGTCAATCTGTAGATCGAGACCTAGAAATCCATTGCCTGCTTCCCCAGCCTGCGTTCTATGGAGAGACCTGCCTGTAATCCAATCCTGCAAACTCCAACATCTATCACAATTGATGCGAGTCCAATCAACCCCGTACTGTTTCGAGTACGCGCCCACAGCCTTGTTTGCTGGCAAGCGGCCCTTGGATCTGCCGAACGCGTTTTCAGAACGCACGAAACACGTTGAGTGTGATCGCTAAGAGTATCCTGACCATCTCATTGGTGAACTTAGCGAACACGATACGGTTCCTGTATCAAGCTTCGAGTTTCAATCAAAGCGCGACAACCCAGAACCACTACAAAGAAATTAACTTGTGCGATGCGAGACCAACATGATATCAAGAAGCTCTTTGCAGATGGAATGTATCAGAGGCGCAGAAAGTTTGTCTTAGGATGTGGAGTCGGCATGCTGCTGACGTGTTACCTCGAAGCGGGGATGGATAGAAATGTCATAAAGGGCTTGGACCTAATCCGGATAGACGCTATCAGACACAATCTCCCCGCAAGTTTTCTATTCTAATCACTCCTTCTGCTCTTCTTTTCTCTGTAATCCACCACCTGGCTGGACTTTTAGATGAACGTTTATTTCTACATTGTCTCGTTCCTCAGACCAAAAGCCTTTGCCACATACATCTCATTGATTCCCATGATGCAGTTTACTATTCTTGTAACGATCATGCTTGTAGCAGCCACCCTCGCCCTTCCCAATCCTCAAAGATCCAAAACCGCGCCAAACAATAGACCTAATACTACTCCCAACGCTACTCCTAGCGCCAGACTCAATAATACATCGAACGCAATCGACCCATCACTTATACCTCCCTTTGGCGTTACAGCCGGCCAGAATCCGGACGGCACAGGGAATTGCATTGGCATTAACAATGTCAAAATACCCTGCAACTGTCCACCAGACTTCAACATCTTTGCTGCCAAGCTAAGTCAATTTGCCGCTGTCGGAAACGCACGCGGCTCGCTACTGAGTTTTCCGTTGGGAAACGATGCTGCAAGTAAGACAGCAAGAATCAAGGCGAGCATAGTGACATTACAGAATCTTAATGGGAAGGGAGTTGGATGTCCGGCGGCGAGCACAACGTTTGTGCAGCAGTTAAATGAGGTGAAAGGTTGATTTTATTTTGTTGACGGAGTGACGGTTCAAGGGGTATTATACGAGCCCTGGAGGCATCGTATGGTTGCTAGTGGGATTGTATAGGCACTAGGGGGGATTATAAGGGTTTCAGGGCCATATCGTGGCAGTTAAAGTTACAGCAATGGAGCATATAGATACCCTACATTAAGCCGTCTTTCTTACCACCAACAATTCTCCATCTGCAATACAATGCGTTTATCACCACAAGTATGTTTTTTTAAACATTTGTAGTTGGATATCGGCCAGTTCTGGTTGTGTCAACCTCGCGCCATTTTGTGCTGCCCCTGCAGTAGTCTCTTGCAACATACGCTCACCCGAAGTTTATTCAAGGCAAGCTCAAACTTGCTTCCTTTCAAACCTCCAACACTAACCTTCCAAACCCGATAGCGAATGTCGTAATCATTAGAGAGATTGTGGTCGCGGGTAGAATCCACCATTTGCGAGACACGCTAAGGTCATCAAAACCGTAATCGAAGAATGTTGTGGTCAGTATAGCTAAAATAAAAGTTCTGGGGAGGAAAACATTCTAATAGCGGTCATAGTGATTATAGATAAAGAACCTCGTTAGATTTACTTCGCCGCTTTAGTAGTGCACGCAGCGACCTGCAAGCTCGGGCGGGACTCTTGTTGGTTGGCGAGGTGGAAAAGCTAGGGAAAGTCAATTCTTATCCCTCTATGCACTTAAAAAGTTTTAAGGCAGGATAAAGGCAGGTTCTGTGATATATAGTTTTTGGCGCTTGCAAGGTTGATCCGAATATTCGTCCTGTCTCGATTAACTGATATTGTAACGAGGTCGGCACGGTCAACCACGTGGCCTTCTCTCGCTCATAGAGGTTTAGGCTAGGCTAGAGACAACCGCTAGTGCTAGTGCTTACCCTAGCATTACCTATATATATATTATACTATGCGAGAATACTTAGCTTAAGTATTCTCGTGCGTACCTTTTGGTACAGTGGGGAAAGTCGTATAGTATCGGCTTGGCAGGCGGGGCGCCTACCTCATTACAGATATAGTGCCTTCTTCAATTCTAATGCTTTATCAGTTAGATAGACCTTTGTTTTGACGCGGCTCTTATAGAGGAGCTCTTTAAAATGACTAATAACAATATTGCTAAGCTTTTTAGAGCGGACCTCTATAATTAAAGCTTAAGAATCGGCCTGCAGCGTCCCTGAACACTAACTCTGTGCGTTTCTAGGTCCCAACACGCCCACACGCTCAGACATTTGGCTCCAAATTGTCAGCTAGGTGGTAAGAGAGCTGCGTACCCGGAGCATAGTTTGACTGTCAGCGGAGCCTGTATTTAAAATCATTTTGCTGTATACAGTATACCTTCATGCTCTGCTTAATTCCATCCTCCTTTGCAAGGTATTAAATATTATTGTAAGGAAGGACGCCTTAGTGTTTCGATCCTTTTAAGCGAGGCGATCCTTCCGACACTTAATCCTTTTCAAAAGGCCTCCTATTAGATCCTGCGCCAAATAGCTGCGCCCCATGAGATAAATGTCTCCACTTCCAACTTCCAAAGTCCATGAAACATTCTGTTACAACCATATGGTCTACCGACGGATGAAATGCGATAGGGGGATTTGCACACACCTTCCTCGTTCATGATTACGCAAAGAAGGGCAGTGTTTCTCCGATAATAGAAACGCCGTATAGGCGCAGAGTTACTTAAGTACCATGTTTCCCAACAACGTGCCTCTTACTACCTTCATCATTCAAGTTACATTGTTCTGTCAATTTTGGCTTCACCTTTTTCATTTACATTCCCAAGGCTGTTCGTTTATTGCATTCACCACTTCGCTCCACTTTACAATCTACGAGATGTTCAAAATCAAGACCCTACAGGCGCTTGCATTTCTCCTTTCCGTTGCCCGTTCTGCGGTCCTTCTTCGTGATGTCGCCCCTCGACAGAACGCCCAAGGCGACGTAATCCGTATGATGAAGTGCGACAACCTGTTCGAAATCAAGCCGGATGTTGGGGGTTGGGAGCAAGGTCAGGCAGCATACTGGTTGCGGGAAATCGATGCTACGCCCCAACCCAATGATCGGGTAATCTTTGACATGGTGAGTTTTAATCTTCTTGATAGTTAGAAAGATGTCTTTCACTAACAGATGGCTACACAGTACACAGCAACAGGAGATTACTTCTACAACGGTGCTAACAAGCATTACGAAGGCACTTCTAAAGGAGGAAACGCTTTTTTTGTCAATTTTGATGACCCAGGCCCACTCAGGCCTCCAGATGGGACCCCGGTTGGGCAAGCCGTATTCCTCACCAGGCCTTACAACTGTGTGACCGATTTCACATTCCAATATAGTGATAGCCAGTATGGAGGATGTTATAGCTATGTCAAATGTGTTTAAAGGCATCCTGTGAGGCGACCACGGACACCGGATAGAGTTCTGGAATGCAGTGGTGAGGGATGTCAATATAGCTAAAACGAATGAAAAAGCCCAGGTGCCCGACTATCCGACGCGTCACAGAGTCTTTACACTTTTCTAAACGAATGGTCTGCTTGTTGTGTCCGTGATGGGCAAGAGACGTAGTTGAAAACTCGTATGCAGCTGGTACTATGATCGCCAGGGAGGATAGGCTAACTTGACATCTTTGGGAAACGTTCTGCCAAAGTCGCAAATGCATGCAGAATGGTGATCCCTAGAGGCAGACGGGAGGATCTCGCACGAGCTGAGAAGGGGTCATAGGGTAGGCGAGTCGACAAGGTATTGAGATCCAAACAAGGTGAATTGTACCAGTGTATTGTAAGGTCTAATGGGCGAGAGAGAGCTCTGGGCTGACTATATACTGTACGAGAAAGGAGCTAGCCCTAATGAGTGAATAGCGCAGTACATGGGTATGGTATCGCGTGAGACACGTGCGACAGAGGAGACGTAATTGCATGGGTACCGTACAGGCCACAAAATATTCCGAGTGTCGTCTCCTGTATTTTTTGACATGGGTAAGTTGGTCACTCCCAGGTGGCATTTTACATCAGCAACTAAACCTAGTAGCAACTACACTCGTCCCTACCGTAAACTCAGGTGAGCTAAAGCTAGCCTACTATCTAGCACTTTAGCAACCCACGGATACTAGGCGTGTCTCAGGCCGTTAGGTTGCTTCGGCTGGTGTTGGCTGCTCCTAACGTTTAGTCTTTTCTTTACAATAGACTAAGTAGTATAGTAGTTTCTAAGGACACTATACTATTATATATCCTCACATATATATACTCTCTTACTATCTTATTCTAATATCATTCCCCCTGCTCTCTATACTAGCAGAAGAGGTAAACCACGTCCGGCTAACCCTCCAATCCCTACATAGTCTTGTGGACGGACTGTACACCCGCGCTACGAAACTACCCTACCGCCCTCGTCACCCAAGATTCCTCCGGCCCGCGTGCTGAACGGTATCTAGTCAGCCTACAGCGGCATACCCATTAAGTAGGTAACGTAACAGTATGTTAATAGTAATAGATAAAGTGGTTTTTTTTCTAAAGGTGTTCCTTCTCTAGAACCTTCTCTATACATAATCAGAGCTTAGAATAGTAAGAGGTATATAATTGTAGTATATAAAGTAGCTTTTTTCTAGAGGTGTTCCGTCTCTAGAACCCTTTCTATACATAGGCAGAGCTTAGAGTAACAAGAAGTATATAATAGTAGAAACTTTAGGATGCGACAACTTGAAGAGTACTACAGCGCGCCTACAAAATCAGAATCAAACGAAGTAGATGGATAAACCTCGGCGAAAAACTTCTCCAGCTCTTGTCCCAAGCGTTGCTAGAAATAAGTGCCGGCTGCGGGCTCAGCAGTGCGGTTGTCAGGCCAGAGTCTACCGAGAGCACGCCTAGCTGATTCGGAGTCAGAGCCATTGACCTCTCCGATATCAGCCAGAAGCTTCAGGGTATCCCTGATCCACTGACGGCATCCGATACCTTCGGAAGTGAATGCATATCTGAAGCGCCCTCCCGACGCCAAGTAGTCAATGTACCAACTGACTGGCCGTGAGTATGTGACTGAGACTGAGTCATGTCTCTCAGCGTTGTTCGTGACCACGTAGTTGAGCCTCGATACGATGACCTGGGCTTTCATGCCACCGTTTGTATGGGTTTGTAGGGGGTTAGGCTGAATGTCCAACCTGACGCCTTGCCCATTGCCGACATCGAATGACAAAGTCCAGTGATTCGTCTTTCCAGTTCCAGAGGCAGCAGACTTTGGATGGCAGACGGCATAGATCTTTAGAACATTATATGCCCTGATCTCGTCCCTGGCCGATGCCGGAACATATAATACAGGATTAGCGGCAGCGGCAGCGGCGGCAGCTTGCTGTTGAGCAGCAATGAAAGCGAGGGGGTTTTGCGACATGTTAACGGTGATCTGAGAGGCGAAGTTAGAAAAGAATCGAAGTAGTCGAAGTTGATAGAGTCGACGGCGTCGATGGCGTCGATAGCGTTGATAGACGCCAAGAAATCGATGAAGTCGATAACTTCAATGAAGGTGATGAAGTCGGTGAAGCCAGAGGGGCGATATAATTAAACTTCACAATAACCGTAAAGGTAGTGGAAGATAGGTGAGGGAGGAGTGCCACTTGAAGACCGAAATAATAAACTGGGGATCAATTTGATGTCTAAAAGGAGAAGTGATTAAGTCTTTGTTTAAAATGATTGTGTCCAAGATGTTATCTTAAGAGGATATATATACCCCTCAGTGTCGAGGAAGCAATGTGTTTCCATGGCATATGACTGCTCCGTCCCCGGCCGTGGCTCTACTGAAGCTGTGGGTGTTTCTATTGCCGCTGAGATAAGTGGAAGTTTCATGACTATTGATTTTGGAGCCTACTAAGTTAGCGGCGCCAAAGTTATGAGCTGATTCAGAACCGCCAAGGCCTAAGGAAAAAAGAGGCACAGTATGCCAAGTCCGCCAGAAGGATTTACCTTTGACGTGCGCGCGCGTAGCTTCATCAAACCCCTTTCGTAGTTGGATTGTTATTTCGAAGTGACGTTAACTGTAAATTTTATATTTTGGGGCAGGTTGAAGATAATATTTAGGTGGCTAGGACCCTGGGAGAGCTGAGAAGAGATGGTAGAGCCAAGCCCAATTGATGAAATTGATGAACCTTTCATCCAGCTGATGGCTTGACCAGTGGTTCGCCCCCTCGCATATAAATTGCTTGAGTTGGGCTGGTGGTTCATTCACGAGCACACCAGTCTCTCTGAGCAGGAAGGGTTCACGTGGGAGAGGCTCGACGCTCGCACGGCCTTATCTCAGCTAGCTCAGACGGCATGCCAAGAAGACACTAGTACACAAATAGTATAGATACTTTCAGACCCCTGCTGGGGCTTCTTCCTTCTTGGCTGCTGTCTGAGGGACTTTAGTGCAGCGCGACGTGTGCAAAGCTTTGTCTATTAACTTACTAAAAACTTCTATACAAGATACTATTACACACAGCTTATTACAGCGCCTATAATTAGAATTAATTACTTAAAGGGTATATATAATCTACTTTAGACTATTTTTAAATAAATTCCTAATATTCTAACTATAAAAATTATAGGCTTAGCATTGCACACGTCCTAACGCGCAACTATTTCTCTTAACCCTATCCTCTACTAGTCTATCTACTTGCGTTTAACTATTAATAACAGCTAAGATTAACTAACCTACCTTAATTTAGCCTCTAAAACACGCTCTCTGTCTTAAATAAGGTATGCTAGGTTTAAAAGCTGCTGCATAGATTTAAAATAGTAACATGTAGTATAAGCAGAATAGTCCTAATTTATAATTAAGTTGTTTAGTAGATGCATAAGTGTTGCCTAGTCTAGTAAATTATAGTAAAAAGTGCGCCTATTATAATTAAGTATTACTTATTAAGTGTTACTAGGCACCTTATTAATAAAACTTTAGGTCCTTTACTAGAACACTAGGGAGCGCTATACTAATAGAAATCTAAGCTGTATAAGAAAAGATTACATATATTTTTTTATTTAATAGAGATAATAATATCTTTATAACTATCTATATAGTTGCAGTTTAATATTAGAAACTATGTAGTATTAGCTTATAAAAGCTTTTTATTTAAAATACCCTCTTCTTTTTACTTAGTAAGAGGGAACTACATACTAAGCAGGTCTATGTTGTCTAACGCCTTATCTTTAGTTTAGGCAATATAATTCTAGTTGCAAAGACTAGGTTTAGTAAAAGTATTACACTACATACATATTTAGTAATAATAAAGTATATAACACTTTAAATTATCTTGTTATTAAAGCTTAAAAAAAAGTAAAAAAAAAAAATTATAAAATATCTTAAAGCTTATTTATGCTTTATTACTATAAAAATAAAAGATTTTAATCCTAAACTCTTTAGTAAAATTTTTAAGAGACATTATATGCATATTTTTTTTAGCCTTAAGTAGGTAATTTCTTTAGTGTTCTATTATTTTTTTTTTATAGGCAGCTTTGTAGACTAAGTCTAACTAGTTATAATTAACAAGTACTATGTTATTTAGCAGTAGTGTAAATTCTAAACAGCATATATCTAGTTTTATAAGCTTTATTAGATAATATGTTTTACAACTTTTTTCTTTACATGTACAGCAACCTTAGATGCTGCGACTAAGGCCTAGCTTTTTAAAAGTAAATGTTTTTAAGTGCTAGCAACTAGTAATAATAACACTTTTATGCAGCTAAGAATTATACGCACCTCTATTAACAGGCTAGAGATTGCTATTAGGATTGTCCTAATCCTAACTAGCTACTAGATGTTATATAACTAGCTTTTAAACTGTATAGATGTAGAAATTAATGTAGAAATATTATAAATTATTTTTTTATACATCTTAAAAACAATTATATTCTTAGATAAAAAAGATAAAATTACTACTCTAGCTTAGCTTTTTTAAAGTTAACTTTTAAAAAAAAGCTATCTACTTATAGATATTTAATTAGTGTTAGTAGTATATATAAAGCACATGTTAAAGTTTAACTAAGCTTAAATATATGCTAATTTCTTAGAGGACAAGTTCTTAATCTAAGTTACTATTACTATAACTGCGCTTAGAATAAGTATAGATCTATCTAATGTCTAGTGTGTCTATTAGTAGTTAATTCTAATTATAGATAATATTAGAGACTTAATCTAGCAGTTTAGTTATAGAGTAAAGAGACCTAGATAATATGTAACTACTGTACTATTTATTCTGTATTATGCCTTTAACTGCCTTAGAAGAGGGCTAGTAAACTGCTTTAGATTAAAGCAGTTACAAAGTTAGTAAGCTAGTAAAAAGAAAAAAAGTTAATATAAAATAAGTTAGTGTTTATTATCTACGCTTTATACTATGTCTACTGTGTTAGACTTGTCTAAGGGCAATTGCTCTAACTATACTAGCATACTAGTAGGGACAGCAACAAACTAGGCAAGGTAGGGAATATTAGCTAGTTAAGATGTGTAGGAGTAGGTCTAGTTAGCTTATTATAAACTACTAAGCATATTAATAGTGCTAGAATAGTTAAAAGCAGAGCTCTAGTTATATAAGAGTATCTGCCCTAAGTAGTTAAATCTAATTATATTAAAGTGCTACTAAAAGTTTATTCTTTAGTATTTTTAAAATAAGCTTATAATTTTATTAACTTAGAGTCTACTTTTACTACTAGAAAGGTGCTGTACTAGCTGTAATTTATTTCTAGTTAAAAATACCTAGAAGCTAAGTCTAGTTACACAGCTAACTACGCCTTTGCTAAAAGCTAAGGCTAAAGTTGCTTTTAAGTAAATCTAGGTTAAATATAGTAAAGTAGCACTCTCTATTTACATTAATAATAAGAACATATTATAGGGGCCTAGTTCTTTTATATTTATAGTTAATAAAGTCTTTATTTTACTACTTAGATCTATTTTTATACTAGTTAAGTTTTAATAAAAACTAGCCTATAAAGTTAAAAAAGCTTAAAATGCTATAAAGTTTAGTATAGCATTTACTTAAAAACACTTTTTTAATACTAGTGTCCTACTATAGTAGCAATATTTTAACACATATAAGCTAGGCTTCTACGCCTTTCTTTATAGTATTATAGATAGTGTTTGTGCGCTTTATTAGTAACAGTTCTCTAAGCAACATATAAAGAAAAAAAGTAATAAAGACTTATTATTAAATTTAACTACTCTTTAGTAAGGCAGCACTCTCTCTACTTTCTTAAGACTTGCCTTAAGAGATAAAGATAACTAAGTTACATTATAGGCTACGCGCGCTTTTTAATTATGTGCAGCCTATTATAAGCGCATTTATAGGTAAGCAGTAGTTACTGCTGTCTCTGTAGGCGTCTTGTCTGCAGAGGAGGCGCCTGTCTTTATTAGCCCTGCAGGTCTATGTCTGCTGTCTACATTAGAGTTGTCTACTATGTTATGTCTTATAACTGCAGATATGTTGTTTTTATTAGCACATATACTATTAAATCCTTTGTTTTTACTTAATGTTACTATGTAGTATAATAATAGTAGCTAACCTAGTCTAGCACTTATAACTAAAAGCGCTTTTTTTCTATCTTTATTTATTAAAACCTTATTATGTAAATAAGTGTTATCTAATATTACTTCTTTAACTATAAATATATAGTTATGTAGGGTCTAATCTAATAGTATATTATAAAAGCAGTGTAGGTCTTAGCTTGCTAAAAGTAGAGTTAGAGGAGAACTAGTGCAGCTATATTAGACAGGGGATTGTAGTAATAGTAGAGCATAGAGGAGCATATTACTAACTTTAAAGGCACAGTGTTTAAGGCTATTTTAGTAGTTATTTTAAAAAGAAGAGTAATAAAAGTTGTTATACAGGTTATAAAGCTTATCTAGGCGCACTAGAAGCAGGTTAGCTAGCGCTAGAAGTAATAAATAGCATAGGTTAGTTTTAATTTAAAACATAACATAGTTTATTATCTAAAGTAAAAAAAAGTAGTAAAAGTAATTAAGTGTAGTAATTTAATTAGTAAGTTTTACTAAGTAACTTACACTATAGTAGAGGTTAGCAGCAGAGAGTGTGAGAAGACAGAGAACAGTTAAGCGCGCTAGTCCTAGTGTTTTATAGTAAGGGCTGCAACCTTTCTAGATTAGGCAGTCTATAATATTAAGCGTGTATATTGCAGCTAATGTTTATTCTTACATTTATAATTACACTTATTATTATAACTTTATATATAGTTTTTATTATAATTATAGCTTTTTTTACTTTATTTATTCTTTTTAAGCTAATTTTATTTTTTTTTTATAGTTACATTTATATTTACTTTTATAACTACTGCTTTTTTTATAAGTGTTACTGCGCTTATAACTTTATTTATAACTGCAGACATAGCTATAGTTATAATATTTACTTTATTTACTTTTTTTAAGCTAATTTTATTTTTTTTTTACTTATTTAAAGTGCTCTGCAACTTATATTATCTTAACATAGATTACGCCT